TAAATAATTAATTATATTTTCATTTAATTAACTTGATATTAATATTAAAGCAGGGTCACGGCTCTGATTATTCCTCAGAAATCCCAGAAGATGGTATAATTAACAAAGCTAATGTGTTCATATGCATCATCATTATTATGCAAATAATTTTTATGGTAATGTATGTGGATATGTAAGAAGCATATAAATCAACTAAACTACATTTTAGGGCAATTTCTGATTTGCAGACATTGTAATCTTTTTTTAACACAAAAAAATATATAAAAATCTCCAGTGGTCCTCTTTTCTGCTGAGTCATCTTATAACTAAGAAATTAATCTCATTCATTATTCCATAACTTAAAATGTAGAAGATACTGAATATCTAGGTGCCCTGAATCCTACTGGGGTTTAACTTCCAAGACAACACAGATATGAATTATCCTCTTGAGAGAGAAGAACCTGGAAAAAATAGCCTAACTTAGCTGGGGAAAGAGAAAGAGGTAAGTAAGGATAGAGTATGAACCCCAGAATGGTCAAAGAACAAACCCAGTGACCAGCAAAGGAGGGCAGACAAAAGTATAGCAAAGATAAAAAATCATCCACAAGTTAACACCCCCGTCCCCATTTCTTCTGGACAAGCTATAAAACTAGTGCCACTATTTCCTTGATAACCTCTCTCTCTATATATATAAAAGGTGAAGTTTGTCTTGCCATTTATCACCTTCTCAAGAGACTATACAGTGTATTTCCTTGGAAAGAACTCACAGGTGTCCCAATTCACCAATTGCTTTTCTTTTCTTTTCTTTTTTTTATCTTACCCAAGGATATTTTCTCCTTTGCTCTTCAGAGAGAGAGAGAGAAACCTCGATGTGAGAGAGACACATCAATTGGTGCCTCCCTCATGAGCCCCAAGGCCGAGGGTTGAGCCTACAACTAAGGTAGGTACCCTTGTCCAGAATCGAATCTGGATCCTTCCATTCATGGGCTGACGCTCTAACCACTGAGCCAAATCAGCTAGGGCTGGATTGCTTCTCCTATGAGGTGACAAAAATCAGTATTTCTAGCAGATATAAAAGTGTAAATTGCCCAAGATAACAGTAAAACTTACCTTCAAAATTTTTCTCCCCTGCAAATCTGCCCATATACCCAGTGACCTGGAAGCTTTGTGAGCAGGTGTTTGAGGAACATAAGTTCTCTTTGGATCAAGATCCCAGCCAAGTCACTGGGATCTTCTTGACTTGTATGAGTTCCCAGGACCATCTTGACTCACATCTGCTCTTCCCTGCCTCCTGCAGTCACTTCTCTTGAGATTTCAGGACTTGGAACCTCAGCTTTGCATTTTTACATATCAGGACTAAAGCTATTATTAGCCAATCTCAAATAATGACAGAAGGTCAGGCAGTATGGACTCTACAGCAAATGGAAATGCAACGAGCTTCTCCTATCAAGGGCACAAGGGCACGTATGTGACACAGAGTACCAGCAGGGCTGGGCCAGAGGCTGGCTCCTGGGGGAGAAAAGTGAGAAGCAGGTGGAGTCTTGCTTCCAGGCCCACTATCTCCAGTGTTCTTCCTCTCTCTAATCCTTCTCCTCAGGCACCTTGGAATTCCTCTTTCCTCCCACCTGCAACAAAACCTGCTCTCAGGAAAGGCTCTTTTCTCATCCACTCACATTTTATTTATTTTATTATTTTTTTAAATCCTCACCAGAGGATATTTTTTCCATTGCTTTTCAGAGAGAGTGGGAGAGAAAGAGAGAGAAACATCGATGTGAGAGAGACACATCAATTGGTTGCCTCCTACATGCCCCCCAACAGGCGCCAGGGATCAAGCCTGAAACCAAGGTATGTGCCCTTGGCCAGAATTGAAGAGGGGACCCTTTAGTCCTCAGCAGGCCAAAGCGCCAACCACTGAGCCAAACCAGCCAGGGCTCATCCATTCACATTTTAATATGAATGAAATAAACTCCCACAGAGTCATATTAGAAATTCTCCTTTGTAGCAAGTGAAGAAGAAATTATTGGTTAGTTTTTAAATCTTTAAATCCATGAAACCCAGAAAAATAAAACAAAGCCAATGAAAGTCACCAGCCACATGTATAAATGTTACTTTACATTGTGTTAAAAACATTATTTAAATTAATTTTGCCTATTTATTTTTGTTTCTTTTAATGTGGCTACTACAAAATCTCAAAATTACATATGTGGCTCACATTTTATTTCTATTGGGTGTTGCTGTTGTAGGCCCCCATGAGGCCATTTCATTTGTGAGATGTTGTATGTGTGTTTATCTGGCCTATTACTTCTTTGAGAGTCCTAATTAGCCCCCAATCATCACACTCAACTAGAACAATCTTAAAAATGGCTGGAACAAACAACTCATGCCTCAACTAGAAGAGTCCTCTAAACAGAAATACCCAGATTTCCACATAGCAGGAGTGACAATTAAACACAATGGTCACCTAAGTTTCCAGTTTTCTGTCCTCTTCATGACCAAGTCCTACACTCTGGCCACCCCAGGCCCCCTCAGGCATCAGATGCACTAGTGATGGGCCACAGCCCCCAGCAAGTATCTTTCAGACTAGTGACACACAGAGTATCCCAAGGGCTTATTCTTCTAAATTTCTGAAAGGCATGGAGCAGTACATTTGTTTTCCATTGCTTTGCTCACTTGTAACTGCTAAGCAGGTATGTAAAAATCCAGTTCCAAAAGATAAATAATGTTGAGAAGTCAGGGTGTTACTCTTAAGTTTCTGTTCAATAAACTGTTTGGACTTAGAATCATGGACTCTCATTTTGTCCAACACTGGATTATGAGTTTCTTACACAGCCTTTCTCCAGCTTCTGCTTCCACATATTCCTTGAGCTTATTAACCACTGAGAAGCTATCTTTTCTAATCCCAGGCGGGTAGGATTTTTATCTCCTACCACTGATCCTAGATTCTTTCAAAACTACAAAGTTGGTTCAATTTCTCAAGCAAATCTTTATGTGAAAGCAATGATACCTCTTCAAGTCTTTTTCAGATTAAATATCCTTTTGGTTTGTCAGTGATAATTTCTAAAAAAAAAATAGGGTTTAGTCTTTTATCCTTGGCTGCTCTCTTTGTCAATGTCTCCCCTTAAGGTATGGTGCCCAGGCCTGAACAGTATCCATCATACTTGGTCCAAGCAACACATAAGACGGAGCGGGGCTTTTCCTACTCCGTAGGAACAGCTGCACGGTCAGACCTCCCCACTTCACTTTCTTGAGTCCTGATTATTTTGTTACTATACATTACCCCTTCCAGCTCCAAGAAAGCCACAGATTGAAAAGGAAATAAAAACACTAGCTTAAAAAGATATATGCACCCCATGCTCATTGCAGCATTATTTAGAATGGCCAAGATATGGAAACCACCTACATGTCCTTTGATGGACGAATAGCTAAAGAAAATGTGGTGTAGTCCTGACCAGCGAGCTCGGTTAATTGGAACGTCATCCTGACATGCCAAGGTTGTGGGTTCAATTCGATCTCCAGTGAAGGCACATATAAGAAGCAACCAAAGGGTGCATAGATAAGAGGAACAATAAATTGATGCTTCCCTCTCTCTCTCTCAGCATGGTGACTCTAGATAATAATACTATATTGTATATTTAAAAATTGCTAAGAGAATAGTTATTAAAAGTTCTTATCACAAGAAAAAAAAATTCTACCCTGTGGTGATGGATGTTAACCAGACTTACTGTGGTGATCATTTTGATCAATATGGACAAATACTGAATCACTATGTTGTTCACCTGAAACTTACATAATGTTATGCCAATTATATCTCAATTAAGAAAGAAAGGAAGAAAGGAAGGAGAGAGAGGGAGAGAAAGAGAGAGAAAAGAAATTTGTTTCCCAGTGGTTGGGGGCAAAAATAAAAAGCATTGTAAGTCTATAAAGCTTTGTATACTAATATCTAAAACTAACAGCTATAATGAATGGTTCATAGCCCTGTCTATTCCTGAGAATTTCATGGAGACCGAACACATACAGAAGGCTAATCGGCCCAGGAAGTCAGGCCCTCTGGGAGATGGGGCCTGGTCTTATGTCGTTTTAAAAGCTCCAGGAGATCGTAGCATGCATCCAGGGTGGAACTACTAATTTCAGGAAACCATGAACCTGATCTTCATAGCAATTCACGTGACTTTTCCCTTCACCCGTGACTCTGAATTTTCATTTTGAATTGAACTAGCAGAACGGAATCGGTTCACTGTAAACAACTTGAAATCATTCAAATCATTTGAAACTTGGGCCAAAGGAAAAGAGGAGTTAATTTATAAACAACTGGGACCTAACTGGAAATCAAGTTAAAAGAACATCAGACTTAGGAGACCTGGTGTTTAACTGGCACGTTCACTTACTAGCTGCGTGATGAGCACATCATGTAACCACAATGACGTTTCTTTGTCAATAAAATTAAGGCACTGGTCTAGAAACCTTTCAGGTGCTCTAAATTCTGGCATAATTTCAGGAAAGAACTTGCATATGGAAAATTTAAAGTTGTACCCTGCTCTGTTTTGAAAGGATATGAATTTAGCCATAGGAGCTTCAACAGGGGCAAAAATATGATTAAAATGTTCAAATTGTCCTTCAAATTTAATTTATAATACCTATTCCTGATTATAAGTGCATTACACTTAAAGGAGACCTGAGTTTAATCTTATTTGCACAGCCAGTGTTCCCTCAGTCCCCTGCCCTGTTTCAAGGCTGCAGCCCGTATTTGAAGTGGGTCTCCGGGCCCAGAAAGGAGCCTGGGATATCAGCAAGATCAAGCCAGACAGTAGAGCTCACCACTGCCCTCTAAATCACTATGCCTCTTTTCCTCATCTGGAAAGTGGAGGTGAGTTATATCAACCTGCTCTGTGAGCAGAGCAGCTACAAAAAACTTCTAAGTTAACATTTGAAACGGTAAAGACCTTTGAAATATTAATTTTTCACTATATTGTAAGCACTTCATTCAATATTGACCATGCAACGTGTATTCATAAAAACAAAAGTTAAGACGCACGCTTACCAGGAATCCTATTGAGTGTCACCCAGAAATGTTCATCTGGACTGTAGGTGTCCTTGGACCAGGACAGTAGGTCAAGTGCATGCTGGTCTTGGAGGGCGAAGTTAGCGAATTCCCTCGTGAGGGCCACATAGGCAGTGCCAAAGTAAATGGTCATGTTGTGAGGAGGCGAAGTCTTCAATTTTGTTGTTTTAAGCACGTAGGAATTTTGTGTGCGTAATATTTCTTGGTGGACGTATTTAGTCCTGCCAATGGCATGAGCTGGGGGCAGCACCCCAGGGGTAATGTTTTTCCCTTTAAATCCTTTCAGATACTGAACTATTTCCTTGTTGGTTTTCAGGGGGAAATCTTGCCCACAGGTGTTGATGGCGTACTTCCAGGGGACCTCCGAGGCCACCAGGTCTCTCAGGCAGTTCAGGTCGGCCTGGAGCCTGGAAATCCCACCGTAGACAACAGGCCCCATGTTGGAGGCCAGAAAGGCATTGGGGAAGCAGCTCAGTAGCTGCCCCACCGCATCTTTAAATTCAACGCTTGCCTTTTCATCCACGTGAATGCAGTAGACGTTTTGGGGCATGTAAATGGCCCTGAAGAGTCTCTCAAAAGTGCCAAAGTCTTTGTGGATGGTCATTGTGTAAGCCAAAGGGAACGCAGCCTCTTCCTCAGAGAGTGTTTCTGTTATATAGTGACTCTGAGCCACATATTCATAACAGGCAGATTCGCTGAAGGTAGTTTTCAGGGCATTCTCCGTTAAGTAAAAAACCTTGCCCTTAAAAACCTGATGACAGGTTTCTGCTAAGAGCGAAGCATTGGAAAGAGACGCCCTCAGGAAGCGTTTCTTCTCCCATAACTTGTTGTTGTAAACAAAGACGAAACTCAGGGCCGTGATGAGGGACACGCTGAAAAGACAGTGCTTCCAAGAGCCCATTCTCCAAAGCCAGAGAGGGGGTAAAATATCTCGAGCTCTGATCAGAGGGGAGATGTATTCAACTTACATTTTTCTCCGGAATCCAGAACCATCCTTTGCGTAAGTGCAGTTCTGATCGGCTGTTTCACGCCCTTCCGATCAACCACTCCTGTCCTTTTTCCTGCTTCCATTGACCGCTGTGCAGCATCTCCACCTTTCTTTGACACATTTCTGAAGTAATTCCTTTGGATTTGCTTTGCTCAGTCTCCCACTAATCTGCAACCTGTTACTACACAAAAACAAGTTGCCTCAGGGAGGTTGCGGTTCCAATGCTTCCACCTATCTCCACAATAAAATCATTAAAAGGTGAGGTGACCATTCTGCATGTCATTGCTCCAAGACTTCAAACCCAGCCTCTCCTCTTGGCCAAAGGTTGTCCACTGTGTCAGCTCCCCAGCTCCCTGTTAATCATTGTGCTCAACTGACTGAGCTTGTTTGCTTAAACAGCACTGCCAAGTGAAAGGCGTCAGTTCCGAGCATGTGAACACCGCCTGGAGAGATATTCTGTCAATAAATATTTAGTGCTTAAAAATAAAACGCTTAACCCTGTCTTTTTCCACACGCACCTCCATCTCCATGTTGGCTGGGCATGCTGTAAAGTGAGGCATATGACTGGCTGTTCAGTCAAATTGTTTCCAGGACTTAATTTTCTCTGCTGTTAGATAAGGCCTTTTACAAGCTTACCTCACCACCTAATTACTCCACAAAGTGACGGGGAACTCCGATGAATAAAGGCAATTAAAAAAAAAAAAAAAATTAACAGCCCATCATCATCCAAAAATTGTGTAGAAGATAATGCTGAATGCCAAGTGTATTTCACCCTAGCCCAGGCAGCACACAGGGGAAGCGGCCTGATGCCTGTAGAGGTAGGAGAGAGGAGCCATCTCAGTTTGGGACCATCCAGAATTAAGGAGAGAAGGTCCTTAGATTCAGATTTATGAACCCTTTCGAAGGCGTTTCCTTAACCAAAAAAATGAGAATATGTAATTTTACCACCTTCATAGGTCAGTGGTGAGAATAAAAATGAGATCTCTTATGTAAAGAGTTCATAGTCATTCCCAGCAATAAACGGGACAACAAGAAAAGAGTAAACAAGAGCGTCTCCCCGCCCCACATATCAAGCAAATGACACAAGTACGGCCTCTCCTTTGAAGCCTTGTTCCTACTTTACTTCCTCCTGTGTAAGCCGGTGCCAGTGAGATTATACATCTAGAATAGCGCTGATTAGTTTCCTTTGATCTGGTAGTTAGCTGTGCATGCCTAAAGAAGGGGCGCATTAGCTCCGGGCTCATTATTTCTCACCTGTTTCTTGCTCCCACAATTGACTGCACATATTAGACAATCAAATCTTTATTGAGCGAGTGCTCAAGTTTTCATTTCTGTTTTCCTGATCACATTTGGTGTGAGATACCAAGTATTAAAAATTTACAATCTACACTTACATCTTGTGGATATGGGTGCGTTCAACTACCTATTTTTCCCAATACACTTTTATTATAAAGACAACATAATATTACAGAGTTTATAAACACAATCTTTTTGTGTTCTGGACTCTCGTTTACCTCCTGTCCAGACACATATACATTTTGATTTTACCAAGAAGACAGGAGATATGCAAATTTGCACCATGTGTTTTGCAATTCATATCATAGCATAACTTTTTCATAATGTTACTCAGTCTTCATTGGGCAATGTCTTCACAATCATTGCTTTAGAACATAAGACTGAAGTTATTATTTGTTGCTTTTCACCATCCCAGCTGAAAGCGAATGCACTGAAGAGACAGTTGCCAACCCTGTTTTGTAAGCATCAGTGTTAGATAAGACAAGGGTCTCAAGGTCTGGGCAGTTCTAAATGTTCTTTCTTGCTAAATGTTAAAATATAGCCTAGTATTTTGCTGAAGCAGCAGTAAACAGGACCACCTGACAGGAATCAACCAATAAAAATAGACAACTGCAAAGAAGAAATCAACATGTAATTGACCAAATAGTGTGTATAAGCAACCGCTAAGCCTTCCTTTGAGGAGGCAGAGTTTTGGATGTGAATCCCCTGTCTCCTTTACTTGCTGTAAGTAAAAAAAACTCCCTTGCAATAACCATCTATTGTTTTTGAACAGAACATCCCAAGCCCCAAAACCCTTCAGTTCAGTAACATCAGGAGCAGAGGAAGTGATGGTAAGAAAGGACCCAGGGAAATTCTCCCAAACTAGGTGAGTCAGCCTTCACTTGTTTTAGGAAATAGAATCCATATTATGATTCAGGTACATAGTCTTATCTATATGACCCAAAATATAATTCAATCAACTCAAATACTTACTTACATAGCTATGTCTCATGTATCTATCTAGAATTCCTTTGAACAAATCAATTCTTCAATACTGTAGTCATATAAGGGCAATCTTTTCAGAAATGATGACTATTAAAACACTAATTTAAAAAGATATATGCATTCTCATGTTCATTGCAGCATTATTTACAATATCCAATATATGGAAGCAACTTAAGTGTCCATCAATAGACAACTAGATAAAGAAGATGTGGTACATATAGACAATGGAATATTACTCGACCATAAAAAATGATAAATTACTGTTTTCAACAACATGGATGGACCTAGAAGGTATCATGCTAAGTGAAATAAGCCAGACAGAGAAAGACAAATACCATATGATTTCAATTATATGTGGAATCTAAAAAACAAATGAAAAAACAAACCAAACAGACAACCTCATAGAGACAGAGAACAAACTCATGGTTGCCAGATGGGAGGGGGTTTGTTTGAGGAACTGGGTGAAAAAGGTGAAGGGATTAAGAAGTACAAATTGACAGTTACAAAATAGTCATGGGGATGTAAAGTACAGCATAAGGAATATAGTCAATAACATTGTAATAACTACGTATGGTGACTAGTAGGGCCTAGACTTATCAAGGGGATTGCCTCATGTTATACTCTAACTACTGTGCTGTATACCTGAAACTAATATAATAGTGAATGTCAATGGTAATTGAAAAGTGTTTTTAACTTAATAAAAGAAATGATTACTAAAATTTTTATTTTATTTGTAATACCCCTCTAGGTAGTCACCGCCCATGTCAAATGAAATTTACTTTCAATGATTAAATAAAGGCGTCAATATCCAATTATATTGTCTAAACTAGCCAAATGGTTTTGATAGCTTTTTTCTCCTAACACATCCAGATAATTTTCATCAGTTCTTTCTTTTGGCTATTGCCTCATTCTTGGCATAGTTTCATCCCTTCACACATTTCATGCCTAAAAGCATCTCTAATAATTTGCCTGCTCTTTTCTGAATTTACAGGTCTTTGAATTTAGTTACAGAGTGAAGAACGTTTTCAATATAGTACTTTGCTACAGTGGAGTTAACTGTACCTCATCTGAAATGCCACAAGGGTCCTTTGATTTTGAGCTCTAGAAACATTCACAATTATTCAAAAATCATATCTTTGACAATGCTAGATGCTTATAAAATAATTAGTATCAATCTTTTTTTCTCCATCCACCCATGCTATTTGAAGTTTACTCTCATGGTGGTCACTTAGGAAACATGAAAACTGATTTTCCTGCCCCTCCTGGCTTTCCCCAGGCCCTTCTGCAATATACCATTAATCATTCTTCTAGGTTCTGGGCTCTATGCTCTTGCATTTTTGCAAAATAATAGAAGGGGATGGTAATGAGTGACTAAAAAGAACAGTGTGATTCTTCATCCCAGCTTGACCATTAAATCAAAATAAATACCTTAAATACTAAGATAGAGGCAGTGACAAGGTAGGCTAAAATTCTGAAGAAATTGGGAACTAGTATAGACTTGTGGCTTGATCACTCAATAAATTTATGTCCCAGAGTTCAATCTATACTTGCTTATTTCTATATAGTGTGTACTCTTATAAATTATCACTTCAGGATACATATTAATTTTTATTTTGTGGCAGGATAGTAAGAAGCTAGGAAAATTCCTGGGTAACTGAAATGGGGAAACTGAGATAAGAAAATTAAACAAGGTCAAACAGTTTGGTCAGATTGCAGCCATCTTGTGAATCCCAAAACCTTATCTTCTCCAACTAGGGACACTTGAGAGCAATGGTTTATATCTCTAACCAGAGAATACATAGCTTAAATCACCCTGACCTGGAAAAATAGAGAACAAAGACCCAATTAATGACATTTGTGCCAGCTAAACCCAAAGACAGATGAAGCTTGGAGGACAAATAACCAAAACCCCAAAGTATCTGGATGGTGTCACTTGAGGGAGGAATGTGGCAGGATAAATAGCTTCTAGGGCAGGAGGAAGCAAAAGGGAGGAAAAAAAGGAGGAGTTTATCTCACCCACTGAACAAAGAAGTTAGCATTCTTGGGACTTGCCAAGATAAAAATTGCCAAACATTCTCATAAACTCTGGGAAAAGTTGCAACAGTGTAAAAGAGGGATCTTAAAATCTAGTCTATCCAGCAGGGGAACCTTGAAATGTATGG